AGAGCTTGGAACGGTTTTAAAATAAAAAGAAACTCATCTCTGTGAACCTTTTTAATTGGTTAATTTCATCTATATATAATAACCGTTAACCGTCTCTCTTCTTGAACTTATCACAGCGCCAAGTAGCAGTCTATCAAATCTGCATATCTTTATACAATATTTGATATTCTGGTAGAAAATGTGGCGATAGTTAAAAGAAGAAACACACATCTAGGTCAAATACATAATAAATAGGTAAATAAGGCCCAAATGAAGTAATATTCAAACGAAACAAAATAAAAGCCGATGAAAATCTATTATACACTGCGTGACATTGAAAATGGAACACCAAGAAATAGTGGCCAGAAAATTATGCAAATTTCAGGGTAGACGCGCCTAACCGAGTTATGCAAATGATGTAAAATGCGCAGCTCTCGTGCGCACATGGAGTAAGATATAAGGGAAGGAACTAGCAGAAAGGACAGTATTCGTGTCGTTATTTCTTCAAGGAAAATCATTGTAGAAATTTTGTTCTTGTGTCAAAAGACACGTGTAATAACAGAGAATGCCAGGTCATCGTAAACGGAGGCAGTTCAAGCAGACAGACGCTTTTACGAGGGGCATGGTGATCGGACTGAAAAGGGCAGGTTGGTCCATACGTCAAATCGCAGCTGATACACACCTTGGTGCGTCCACGGTGCACCGACTGTGGAGAAGATGGTTGGAACAAGGAAATGTGGCAATTTATAGGAATGTCGGTGCAACCAGAGTGACGTCAGCACGTGTGGATCGGCGTATCCTTCGACAAGCAGTGGCGGCCCCACAAGCCACTTGTACCGCCATCCTGCAACATGTGCAAGACACCCTAGATCATTCCATCTCGACCAGAACCATTTCCCGTCGATTGGCTGCTAATGGCTTGCACTCATGCCGTCCGCTAAGAAGACTGCCATTGACCCCACCGAATAGGCGCCAACGTTTGGAATGGTGCCGGGCTAGATCGACGTGGATGACGGAATGGCACAGGGTCGTGTTCTCAGATGAGTCGCGTTTCTGCTTGTCCAGTGATAGTCGCCGTGTACGCGTGTGACGTCGACGTGGAGAAAGGTCCAATCCGGCAGCAATTGTGGAACGCCCCACCGTGCGGCAACGTGGAATAATGGTTTGGGGCGCAATCGCGTATGATTCCAGGTCTCCTTTACTTCGTATTCAGGGCACTATGACGGCCCAACGATACGTTGATGATGTGCTGCGACCGGTGACACTCCCCTACCTTCAGGGGGTACGCAATGCCCTTTAACAGCAGGATAACGCCTGACCGCACACTGCTCGCATTAGCCAACAAGCTCTGCAAGATGTACAGATGCTTCCCTGGCCACCGTACTCTCCTGATCTCTCACCAATCGAGCACGTCTGGGACATCATTGGACGCCGTTTGCATGCCTTGCCACAGCCGCGTTCAGAAGACGAACTGTGGAAAATAGTTGAGAGGGAATGGAGAGCCATCTCTCAGGACGCCATCCGTACTCTGATTGACTCTCTACCTAGACGTGTTGCTGCGTGCATCGCCGTCCGCGGTGGTCCTACTTGCTACTAAGCCGACGCCGTTCTCGCTCTGTATTATGACTATCATTTTGAAATAAAGATCACTTATTGTTCGTCCCTGTCTCTCTCTGTCTGCCGAGTTTCATCACTTTCTGGCCACTATTTCTTGGTGTTCCATTTTCAATGTCACGCAGTGTATATTTTGATCTGAATAAAATATGATTTATTTAAAAACATCTTTTTTCATTCTATATATATATTCTTGTTCAAATGTTCTGTCAGATTTCTTGCTTCTCAGTCCGGTATTTTGACTAACTTCGTCAGTCCATTTTCTTCTGGTTTTTCTTTCTCTATAAAGTTGGAGGTAACCACATGGAGCAGTATATTATCAAAAGTACAAAATTGTAAGGTGAAAGGTTTCTTGTAAGGCTTTTTATATAGCCGAGCTTTCGAGCATTTCTGACCTTCTACAGGAGTACAAATGAGAACGTTCTCGTGTTTTATTCCTGTAGAAAGACAGAAATGTTCGAATGTTCGGCTATATAAAAAAACGTTACCAGACACTCTTCGCCCCTCTCCCTCTCTCTCTTGGTCTTGAGGTGGGTAACACTTATCACATCGACCTGCCCACTCTGTGGGAAAGAACTTTCGCAGTCCATCGGTGGCGGAGTCTTTCCCACGGTGGACTCCTCCAATGAAGACCTTGTATATATTTTTTATTTATGTTTATATATTTTTATTTATTTTATCCATATATATTTTTATCTAATCATATTTATTCAATTTTGTATTTAACCTTATATAATATTATATGAACGATAAAAGCAATTTCAGTCTCAATCTCTTTTTCTCTCAGTCCATAAATAATGTCCGGGTATTTCCTTTGTATTTTGATAACATCGCTACAGTATCCATGGAATTGAAGCTACGATGTTCTAATTCAGTCTTTTTAAAACCTTTTGCTCGCATTAGTTCTACTTTTGTCTATGAGACTCTTAAGCACTCCAACAGAAAGGGTGTAGCGGTCTGGAATCGCTCTCTATAGCTTGAATGCTTAAACCATTTTTCCAAAATTACTTTACTTGGTGCCGCTCAAAAATAGCAACCTTGTTTATAATATTTACAACGATGAATAATGTGTGAAGGCTATTCACATTATAAAACAAAGAATCGAACGCGGGATTCGATCCCGGTTCATGGCTATCGGGAATCGAGGATTTTCCCCCACTCGTCCACCGACTCTTTTTTTCGCTGAAACCATATTTTACGGATGAGTTTATAATAAATGTTGTCAAATACCTAAGCGGGCGGCAAAGAGAGAAAGGCACGCTGCCATCTGAAATGCTCCTGCGTGCGATCAGGATGTGGCTTTTTGTTTTTAATGCATTTTATTATTTCTGATGAAATTGTCCGTATTTATATAAATTAATTTATCGCTCCATTTTATCGAAGTTTCTGAAAACCTACTAATATGCGCTTTGACTTGAAATATATCCTTTATAACTATTGCTGTAATATCGGCTCTTCATTTCGAATTCCATCCTAAACCTGGAATTCTTCTCACAACACGACTATCGACCTAGCATTAAGTCAAGACGTCATTATATGTCTCCCTATTCCTAAATATTTTAACAATCGAAAACCTTTTTTTTTTTTTACAAAAAGAGAAGTCGAGGAAAAAAACGTAGTTTCAAAAGATTTCTTCGATTAGACGGAGCTTTTCCGAGCTCCCTCTTAGAAAAGGGATGAGACTTAGTTAAATATTTATTCGGTAACATTGGCGCGGTTGTTTGGCGACGCCATGTTTGCTGAGGACCGTGAAACTTCGTCTGCGCCGCACAGAAATCCCGCCCTATATCTAAACACACGTATAGGTACTTTAAATATACACTGTTTAGCTTAAATTACTTATGCAACGTCTGTGTACATTATATACCTTCTCTATGGCAATATATTTATATATATTTCTGAATATAGAGCAATCCATATTCAAATCTTTAAATAATAAAAAGACATATATTGGTTTGGATTAAAAGATTTATATGCCAATATATATGCCTTCTTATTTTTCTTATACAACATTATAAGATTTTTAACCTATTCTGATTGTAATTTTTATGATAATTTTTTTTTTCATACACATATTTCTCCCACCTCCTTTGTATTTTAAACAAAATTATTTCAACTGTGATATTATATCACTATGCGGCGCTGAGTTTGTTTATACAAAAATGTAATGCCTTGATAAAGGTTGGCATTCAGCCAACAGAATATTGGCAAATAAATATTTTATTTAAACCATTATATGACTTTTTATTATCTAAATATTTGTATATATATTAGAAATATAATAAATTGTAATAAACATTGATATATTCAATATTTAAGATGAATTCAAATAGATAAATTGTTTTGTGTATTACATTTAATAGATCTATTATAAATTACATTGTCATCTATCGATAAAATATGTAAATAACTATTTTTTAGTGTTTTTTTTATGAGAAATTCTATCAAATAATAACTCTACAGACCTTACTGCAATAATGAGACAAGCCCTCTCATATATTAACTTTAATCATTGATGTAAGGTATTTTGAGATATTTTTGACAAGATTTAATATAAGAAACACATTGTCAAAATATTTATTTATAAATTTTAATATATGTGATTGGGATCGGTAGAAGGATGGTTTAAACCGCTGGTTTTAGACCCCTACGACCCGGGTTCGATTCCCGCATTTGGAACTTTTTTTCTGATAAAAAAAAAAAAAGTTCCAATGGCCCCCGATTCTTGCAAAGGTCCAACCCCAACAGCGAGTGCAAGCAACCAAAGGGGTTCTGGTACATTTGTAAGTGCAAAGTCGAACTGATTTTCACATGTGTAGACATGTGGTGGACTTACAGTAAAAGCAGTCACCTACTTCTACCCATTATGATTATCATGGCCTGTTCCACTTGTCGCAGGAAATAGGCAAAAAAAAATATAGATGTGATATATTTGTATAAATGGATGATTTTCCTTATTTGTAGAATTATATTTATATAATTAGGGAGCGTATTTTGATTAAGAAACCTAACGTTCTAATGACAAAGCGCCACACACACATTACCGGGAATAAATGAACTAAACAAAGATTATTTTTAATTTCAAGAAATTTACCAAGTACAATGTCTCTCTCTGAACAGAAAAAAAAAGCATATGAGTGTATTTCGCATTTTCAGTGATGCGCCAACCTATGCCCGGTGGATTCTGTGGCCACTGGACATAGCGTCGGACCTGGAGGCTATTGGGTTCTTCCCTGCCTGGAGTATAGGAGCTTCATCTACGCTTCCTTCCTGTGGTTCATCTGTATAAGACCGGTGGTCCTAATAAAGCTGTTTATGTGTGTGTGAAACATATAAGAGTGTCTGCCTATTGGCGTCCGTCAGCACGAACTGTACATCAACGAACTATAAAAGGAATTCATTAAGTAGCTTAAATAGCTCAGTTGGGAGAGCGTTAGACTGAAGATCTAAAAGTCCTTGATTCTATCCCGGGTTTTAGTTTCATTTTTTTATTAAATAAAATGTAATTTAAAGCCATAGTTGACTGAATTACATCCGAATATCTACGTTCAGCTTGGTGGGTCGTCCAGGTGCAGTCTCCAGACGAAGAACAACAGCCAGACACACTTCTGTGGCAGGATCTTACTTTAAACTTATATAATGCTTGAAATAGAAAGATATCAAAGACAATACAGAATACGTTAATTCTATTTTTATAGTGTTTATAAAATATAGTTAATATTACAATATTACACTGAGAATATTCACCACTGATGAGCCAAGCCCTTTCATCCAACAGTTTTTATCATTGCAGTAAAATTTGTAGAGATAATGTTTAGTAATAAATATGAAAAGAATAACGTTGCTCAAAAAAGTATTATTACGAATTTTATATTTGAATAACATTAATAGAATAAATTATTAGTATTTTCTATGTGCAGCATTGGTACAGCACATCTAGCTAGTGTGGCAAGTATTACTGTACATTACTAGGCAAATTACCTGGGTGTTCCTCTATTGGGCAATGTTGCAAGTCTCTTCTGACCGAGGAAGACTGGTTTTAGACCCTTTCTACATGTGCTCACCGGAATTTTATCGAGCGAAAAGAGAGAGAGCTAACCTACATCTAGGTATTTTACCTGTAAACATAAATAACCATTGTTGGTTCAGAGGACCTCCTCTCATGAATAATGCGCGGAAGTGAATTCATTATTCCACGTCCTTTTAAATGGCGAAACCTATGGAAATCAGGAGTCTTCCTATTCCTAAACCTGGAGGAAAATTTATTTGCATCTATAGACAAGTTTCAATCGATATAGTTTGAATATAAATACGATGGTGAATGACCTGAAAGCCGCGATGATGGATGCCTGGCACGCTAGATGGCGAACAGAAGATGTCGAGAAAAGGTCCATGATCCGTATGAAGCGAATATTTACAATTTTGCACACTAGGCAAAGCGCAGTATGCACAAGAGCTAATTCATTTGGCTGATGGGGTAATTCTGCGCACATCTCGGTCTCAGAGTTAAAAGAGGGAACAAGCATTGCTCAATATGATAATTAGCATATAATTAAGTCAATTTGCACATTACGGCCTTTAAATAGTTTCTCCCATCACACTAACTATATATATGAACATGGCCTTTTCCTGGTAGGTCAAATATCAACAGAATTAGAATTCTAGCGGACTAATTTACATATTCCGAGGTCGAGAATATGACTCATACAGACCTAACTTTAATATCGCGTATTAAGTTTTTTCAAAATAGGTCATAAGGTATAATGATATAGCAACCCATCAGTATACGCAATGTGTGAACTATTACAAAAAAAAAACGTAATAATAATTATTATTCACAAAATGCCATTGTTGTAGACACCTATGCGGAATATACAGAATATGCAAATTAGTATGTAATAGAATTTAGTTGCATATTGCGAAGTCGAAACTATGCAAATTTCTACAAAAAAAAAAACGTGCTACAGATATAATTATATATATATATATAGTAGAGAGAATTATATATATATATATATATATATATATATATATATATATATAAATATAATTTATATAAAAAGTAGTTGTAAATTAATGATGATTAGAGCAAATTATTAAATAATATTATTAGGGTATCAAAAAGGTTTTAATTCTTTATGTAACAATATACATATTCGTCCCAGGGACGAAACTCCCGCCGGGTTTAGTTTTGATAAATCCCGGCCCGGTAACAATCTCTTTCCATCCTGGTCGAACCATTATGGTTTCCAACAAAACAACACAAAATATTTTACTCCATCTTACAATAAAATTTTGATATTTTTAAAAGTGCTTTCCACACAAAAAAATATATTTAAAAAATTATAAAATTACACAAAATATTACTTTAAAAAATATTTAAAAAATTTTTTTCTTAATAAATTTAAATTGTTTGATAAAAAGATTACATGGTTCTGTCTTTTCTCTTTTTCCTACTCTAATATCTTCAATTCTTCCTTTTTTTCTATGTTCTACTTCAATGACGAGTAAAGTCCGATGTAATAAGCGTGAACTTGTTATAGCCCTATATTGTTACATAAAGAATTAAAACCTTTTTGATACCCTAATAATAATATTTAATAATTTGCTTTAATCATCATTAATTTACAACTACTTCTCATATAAATTATATTTAATTCTACTTATTCGTTCAGTAATAGCTTGCTATACTGACATTATACTCTCAATTCGACTTTATACTCTTAAATCAACATCGAAATTTTTGATAACTTTCCTTGAAAAAATATTATAAAACCTTATATATATATAAGGTTTTATATATATATATATATAATATATGTACTTTAATCCAAATCCGTCAAATAATCTGTGAAAATGTATGCAGTATAAATAGAATGTGCAAAATAGTATGTTATCGGACAAATTTGCATATTCCGACATCCAACTTATGGCAGTGATTCCCATCAGAACGAACTCTATATATCACGTCAAAGTTTCTTCCAGAGAGAGAGAGTTATGTCAAATATTTTGAAACTTATAAAACGCACCTTTAAAACAAACATTTATTCTTCTATTGATATAACCTCCTTTCATTTAATATAATTTTTTTAATTTGAGAGAGAAAGAAGAAACTAAAGAGGAAATACTCAATAGCATAGTAATTTCTATTCATAAATATTTTCATGTTTAATTGTTTACAATAGCGTTGCATCATCTATTAAAGAAGAAAGAGTAAAATTTAAACTCCAATCTACAACAAAGGTACTTGATAATCCACAATACAATAGGTAAAATTCATTGGAAAGGCCTGTGTCATCTGTATTGAAATGGAATAATGAATGGCAGTGTTGTGACAAATGATGAATAGAGACACCGTTCAATAGTTTACTGATGTACTGAGGAATTCAGATAATTGTTATTTCAAATAGGATAAATTGTACTAAAAGTCTATCATCAAATAATTTACATTCATAATAGGTTCTTTATTATTGCATATTTATCATATAAATTTTGGAGGAAAAAACCATGAATATAAAATATAATTCTATCTTCTGTACTTAAATGTTATTCTTTGTTGATCACACAGAAGTAAGAAATCAAATAAAACTGATTTGTTTTTTATTGTTAATCTTCTTCTTTCTTATCTCCACTCAATCATATTAAGGCATCAAGCTTGTAAAGCTTGAGATATATTGTTAATAAATAAGCTTTATATCCCGACTATAGATAATCCTCTACTCTTGATCTATTCATGTATAAAACGGTATTATGTATAATACATTGTGTTGTATATTCCTTTTTTACTTGTACTGATCTAAATTTCTCTCAATACAACTAATTGTTCTTTAAGAACTGCTTGTTCTCGTTTGCTTGTATATATGTTTATGTCAAACCCTTTATTTATTCTTTACTTTTATTTGATACATTGTAAATAACATTACTGATTATTGTTACTATAAGTATTATTCCTGTATATACTCTCTTCTACTTGGAGAATCTGTATTAGACTAAAATGTCTTAAAACATCTTTTTGTTATTGTATATTGTCAATAAATAAAGCTAGAACTTCTTGAAAGATAAATTAAGATAGAAAAATATCCAAAATGTAAGGTATAATTAGATACAGGGGGATTAATGATAGAAATCCTATTAGCTCCTTTAGCATGGAGCGTTCAGCTTGAAAGGTCAAGGTGACGGAAATCAATGATTGTAGTCCAGACCGATGCCCCTGGGATTCTCCTCTTGATTTTCTTCTTCTTTTATGGCCATGGAATTCTTAGGATTTATTTTATAACCTCCTTAGCTATGTCTTTTATAATCTTTCTTGCATTTGTGTTTACTTGGTGTCTTTAAATACTTCTTTTCAATGTGTGCTTTATACCTATTCTTATATAGTCATTTAAATTTATGTGTTTCTATGAAAAGTATTTTTTAATAAAAGTAATATAAAATACATTTTGACACACATTAGCACATTGTGAACAAATATATAAAATTATAAATATGTAAATAGCTCAATGGTGTGTAAATAATATAGAATATTAATACAAAAATATATTAAACATACAATATCTCATGTGATATATTCCTGTTTATAAGAGAAAATTGCTATAAAGTATAAAATAGAAATATAAACCCTAGCAATGTGTTTCTTTAATCATGCAAAGTGCAAGCTTTTGGATCTTTATAATCCTTCCACAGGCATAGAATCTGTAGAAGAATTATGAAGATTCGAAAGTTTTCACTTTGCACAAATAAAGAAACGCATTGATACTTTCAACAGCAGATTCCTCTGTGCAATATATATAATAAAGCTATAAACTCAACCTCGGATGTTATTTTATTAATTGTTTTGTATTATGTTGTTGATAAAGAGGCTATCGATATAGTATTTCGACAATCCAAGATACAAGTATTGTTTTATTACGATAACTAATTATATATACGCTATATACAAGAACATGGAGAAAACTTAAGAAAGAAAGACCTTTTAGCATGTATATATATACACACACACAAAGCCTTTATTAAGACGTTAGTCTTATACAGATTCTCCGTACAAGGTGCAATAACAGGAAAAGAGCAGCACAGGAAACCAGTAGTTCCGCAACTATATGCAATTATTAGTAATAAGGAAAAGTAAGATTTAATATGAAAGGTCGACGCCATCACCTCAAGTCTTCAATTCCATAAGCGCGGAGCAGAAATAGGGACTAAGTTATTTAGTTCGCCATAAAAATAGCATCCAAACACAAAAAGGAGGTGTTTTAGCATGTAAACATTTTCATTATTATATATATTCAAAGGAGAACATATTGGAAATCCGCCGTTTTATAAGCAAATAAAATATAGTTTATGTTTAAAATATGAAACTCCCTTTAGTTTTGTCTATGAGTGTATCTGTCAAAAGGATTTCTGATTTGACTAACTGGAACAAAAATAATTTATTTTAATGTCATTTTTAAATACCTAGATCTTTTCAAAATGAAAAATAAATA